AGAAATTCAAAACTTGGAGCAGTTAAGGCAGAAAATATTTAATGCCTTTGACACTGTCACCCCTGATATGTTATCCGATGTGAGGAGGGGATTTTATGATCGTTTGGGTTAGAATAGCTTAGAATGAGCTGTATTTATATTTACTTTAATATTCACCTTAAATGAGGGAATTTGACTGATACAATTTTTGAATGATACTAACAATTTTAGTTCAATTTTTAATAAAATTTATTTAATATTAATAGAAATCCAAGAGATTTGAAACCTCTTTTAGCGATTTATAACATTCTCAAATGAATTACAGGTGCCCTTATTTTCTATGAAAATCACACAGCTGTTTTCATAGTCGCTGCAGTTGCTATAGCTATAAAAAACTAATTTTAAAGGTGTGAAAATTGCGACACACGCTAAATGGACTTGATTTTTCGTATGTCTCGAAGTCTGTGGACCTTTTTATATGCCTCGATAACATATTGGTGCAGATTATTTTCACCCAAACAAATAATAACCCAAACTATACATTGATGCGGATTGTCTATGAACTCTTTCTGAAGGTCACAGAAACCTGAACGCGTAATTCGGTGTTCTTTCGCATCTGTTGTAGTTAATTTGTGACATTGGATAGACTATACAGGGTGGCGCCTCCCATACGACACGGAGACTCCAAGGAGAACGGTAGTATATATCAAAATGAAATTTTGGCAGCATAGGTAGGTTAATTGAAAACTTTTTATAAAAATATATAGAGTTATACAGGGTGTCCCCAAAAATAAGTTACACATCAAAGTTGTGTTTTTTGTAATGGAACACCCTATATATTTATTGATTTTCGGATTCTCGAAAAAAAAATAAAGAACAATTTTTAAATTACAATAAAAACTAGCTACATTGGAATTTACCCGGTATAGCCTAATATGTAGTTAAATTAACTATTATACTTTAAATCATATTACAACTTCACCCAAAAAGTTATACAGGGTGAGACAAAATATTGAACATTGGTCACCTATAAAAGCAACTTACCTTTTTATTTTAAATAGAACACCCAGTATATTATTCCGATATTCAATGGGGAATTCATGTCTCTTCAAAATACTATTAAGGTTGCCTACCCCTCAAACAAAGATTTTCCTAGATATTTTCATTTATGTACATGATTTAGTGTTAGTTTGGTTTGGCTGTGATATGCATGACGTTACTTCAACATTGCTGTCTAATTATTGCAACTTTAACAACTAGTTATCAATTTGTGTCAGGCAAAATAAAAAAAAAATCTCAGAAATTTGCCGAAAATGCAAACTTATCCTACGTCAGAGAGAATTGTGTTAATAAAGTTAATAAATTATTCTGAATAAATGTGGATTTTAATCAGAAATCAATATAATAATAAGTTATGAAAATGAACGTCTCTGTTGTTATACATAAGCATTCGTCAAAAAATGAAATAAAATTTTTAAGGCGTTACTTTTTGCCACACTGAATACACATACAAAATTCAGTTTTTTAGTATTTGGAGCAATTATTATTAATCAACGCAAACAGTTCAATTAATGTAGTTTGAATACCGGAATAATATTAATTGGTCCTTTTTAACAAATATTTAAATAGTTTTTTTTTTATTTTTTTAATGAAATAAACGAATTATATCGACAATATTAGTACAATATGTACTCTTTCAAAATTTGTTACATCTTTAAAAATAATCTAAAATGTCAGTATTCCATGGATATATTAATAAATGATGTCTAAATTATCGGAAAATGCATTTCTATGAAAACATGAAGAGATAGGTAAAAAGATGGTATAATACAATTTGATATACAATTAAATTGTGCATGGTTGTGTTGATTCTCATAAAATATACAGGGTGTTCCATTTAAATTAAACAAGTTATTGTCGTTTAAAGCTACTAATTATTTAAAATAAATTTTTAGACATTAAGGTAGTATAATTTTTATTAGTATTGCAACACAAAATTTAGTAATGTGGTGAACCCCCAAACCTGTATACGCAAAATATAAAAGAAAATTCTCGTATTAGGTATATTAGTTTTGAGTTAACACATAAAATTAAAAAAAAAATTTTGGAACTTTAGTTTCGGAGATATAAATTTAATGGGACCTTTTTAAAAAAAATAATTTTATTTTTCAGAAACTATTAGAGACAGACTTTACCAAAAATGCTTTTCATAACTACTAGTGGGTAAATGAATTTCTAGATATATTACGAATTTTTTTGGAACTTTAGTTTCGGAGATATAAATTTAATCGGACCTTTTTAAAAAAATTAATTTTATTTTTCAGGAACTATTAGAGACAGAGTTTACCAAAGATGCTTTTTATAACTACTAGTGGGTAAATGAATTTCTAGATATATTACGAATTTTTTTGGAACTTTAGTTTCGGAGATGTAAATTTAATCGTACCTTTTTAAAAAAATTAATTTTATTTTTCAGAAACTATTAGAGACAGAGTTTACCAAAAATGCTTTTTATAACTACTAGTGGGTAAATGAATTTCTAGATATATTACGAATTTTTTTGGAACTTTAGTTTCGGAGATATAAATTTAATCGTACCTTTTTAAAAAAATTAATTTTATTTTTCAGAAACTATTAGAGACAGACTTTACCAAAAATGCTTTTTATAACTACTGGTGGGTAAATGAATTTCTAGATATATTACGAATTTTTTTGGAACTTTAGTTTCGGAGATATAAATTTAATCGTACCTTTTTAAAAAAATTAATTTTATTTTTCAGAAACTATTAGAGACAGACTTTACCAAAAATGCTTTTTATAACTACTAGTGGGTAAATGAATTTCTAGATATATTACGAATTTCTTTGGAACTTTAGTTTCGGAGATATAAATTTAATCGTACCTTTTTAAAAAAATTAATTTTATTTTTCAGAAACTATTAGAGACAGAGTTTACCAAAAATGCTTTTTATAACTACTAGTGGGTAAATGAATTTCTAGATATATTACGAATTTTTTTGGAACTTTAGTTTCGGAGATATAAATTTAATCGTACCTTTTTAAAAAAAAATAATTTTATTTTTCAGAAACTATTAGAGACAGAGTTTACCAAAAATGCTTTCGTCGAAAAAATTACCTAACAACTTGGAATTGCCATAAAATAACTATCAATATTTAAGAGAAAATATAAAAAAAAATATTTTATTTTTATCTACATAGAAATAAATGATAATTGAAATTTGATAAGCATCAAACACTCAGTACGCACCAATCTGTTTCAAAATACCGAAAACAAAAAGGTTACATTTAGAAAGAACGCACCCCGTAAGCAGCGAAGGCCCTTCGTAACAATATCCTTATTCGGGAGGGTACGATTAAATAACCTGTAATGATCGTCTCGGCGGCCGAGAGGGTCGAAAACAATGCGCAATCAACGAATTACGTCATTAGGGGGACGGGGCCGATCGCCGAGTACGTGTTAACTAAGACCCGGAGAAAGGGAGGAGAGAGAGAAAGAAAGAGCACCCGGACCGTTAAGTCTCGCGAATTGTTATAATTATTTTTTAATGTGTAGTGGATATTGTGTACGCCCATGAATAAATATGAAGTGGCCCCTCTGCGAATGCAAATGGGCAATAAAGAATTTCGAACCCCTAGACGGGGCCACTTTTCGTCGCTTTTATAGGGATTATTAATAATTATTATTATTCGTTTTTTTCTCGCTCATATTGTTTGGTTGAATTAAAATAGTTATACTTACTTATACAATTCGTTACAGATTTTGTAGAGTTAAATTAATATACATTTTATAAGCACAAAAACGCAAAAACAGTCCTCAAATTCACGATTTCTTAAATGCAGGCTATCTTTCTTTATGATTTAGTTAAATTTTCTAAATCAAATCAAATTAAATCATATCTTTATTTCTAATGTGGTACATTTTTATACCGGGTGTTGCATCGTTGAGCGAGACATAGGAAATCCCATGTAAATTTTAATGGGGTCAATTATTGGCTTCCCTAATTATTTTAGAGAATAATTCTATTTAGGTTTATTGAAGAGCACTGAAACCCACATTCAAAAGAATAACTTTAGATATTTTTGATTAGCCCGTTTACGAGTTATCGCCGATTTCTTTTTAAATATTTCTCCTTTCTTATGGCCCTGTATTTACTTATGAGCACCAGTCAAGGTAAAAGATAACTGTCAAATGAAGTTGTCATTTCAGAAATTTATCTATTTAGTGCTTTATTATTATTATTAAAAACTCATACCTACATCGAAAATATTAGCCATGAATTACACTACCGAAGAAAATGTATTGCTGATTAAATGGTATTATCAATGAAATAGTTATCAAAAGGTGTCGGACATGTTTGCTGTTCTGTATCCGAATAGACCGATATCTGGAAAATCTAAAATCGCAAGGAATATCCAGAGATTTGGGACCAAAGGTACCCTAATAAATAGCTGCAGATGTGAAGCAAGGCAGGAAGAAAGAGAAGATGCAAGAAATAATACCGACTTGGAAGTTTTATTGTGCGTGGAAGAGAACGATGGAAAGATCCGCACAAGGAAACTTGAGGATGAAATAGGAACAGATCACACTACAGCGTTTCGAATTTTGAAACGACATAAATACTATTCCTTAATATTAAATATTTTTAAATATCTTATAAACCAATGATTTTAAACATATTTAGCCCTTATAATAAATGCTTTTTTTTGGGCCCAAGAATCCAAAAATAAAATAAAATACCGGGTGTTCCATAAGAAAAAATATAACTTTGGTATGAATCTTAGTTCTGAGACACCCTGTATATTTCAAAATAATTTTGAATTGTGCACATTGCCTTCCCACATATACCCAAAAAATATTTTGTTTCTACATCTTTCCGTTTTCGTATAATCAACCGAGGCCAATATATATACATTCATACATTCACTGATCCATCCATACATCCAAACAAACTTTCACGTTTATAATATATGTAAGATAACAATAATCCAAATTTGTCTAACCTGCTGAACTTGGAATGGTGGCATGAGGTCCCATAAAACTACCCAGTTTGGCGCTATGATGATATGAGCTCATAAAGAAGTCGCTCTGATATTTGTAACTGCTAGGGTCGCTCGTCGCCGGTTGAGTTGCAGCTGCCAAACCTTGAAAGTCGAACTTGTAGGCGTACCTCTTTCCATGCACTTTCGTCATAATGTTTTTGTCGTAATAATACCTGAAAATATTAAATAATTATGTAGTATGTCTAGTACATACCTTTACAGGGCAGATGTCTTAAATAGCGATGGATTTTTTTTCGATATATCGATCACTATCGATATATCGTTACCTATCGATGCTATGTAATGATAGCAGTTCCATTAGTATCAATAATTATTGATAACTATCGATGTATTATTATACAGGGTGGTCCGAACTGTATTCCGGAAACTTCGGCAACATATTCTGCAGATAAAAATAAGTAGATAAGTTATCTATAAACTTTGTCCCAAAATGCTTAGTTTCGAGTCATCCAGGGTGTAGTATAGTTTCATTTTTATTTCGTTTTTTTCCAAATAATTTAAAGTAACGTCAATTATTTGGATGAAAATTGGAAACTTGGAGTTATTTGACATGAAAATTTGATTTCGATGTCAACAACGATATGCTTTGTTACCCTATTAGAATAAACATTGATATGAACTTGCAATGTTTTTGAAACAATTATGTTTTATCATAATTTAATAAAAAAAATTAATTTCTAAGAAAAAATTTATGATTAGTTTAAAAAAAAAAAAGTTCTCAAATAAACGTCATTCCATATCAAATAACCATCTATCAGCATCTGTAAAGTGGAAGTGAATTGGGATTTATCGAATGAATTATTTTACGGATTTTTAATTTATGAATGATTTTGGATCGAATAGTTTTATTCGAATAAAATCATTCATTCAGTTTAATATATAAGATAATTGACAAATCCCCGTGCGACTAATTTTATGAAATTGAGCCACGATCTAAACAAATTCTTTTGATAAATGAAATTTGGTATTCCTTTGATTTTTGGAATGATCATTGCATTTTAAGTTCTATTTAAATTTTTATAACTTCGCCCTCAAAATACTTGTATTTTTGCGTTTATTAAAAGCTTAATTTACTAAAATAGTAGTTATTTATGTAATTTTATTTATTGACGATTGTGTGTATGTGCAGGTGGTCAAAATTTTTCCGAAAATTTGTGTGGTTTTCCGTAGTCCGATCTTTCAATTATTTAATTTTATATGATATATGGTCTATTTTTAATGGGAAATTTTGAGAAGTAACAATTTTTAAGAGAGATCAGATGAACTTACAATTAATTTTAAAAATACATATTTGGTTATCGAACTCAAACTATGGGGTGAGAAAATTAAAATGAAAGTTTTACACGTGCCAATTAAAAAAAAGTTAACGATGTTTGTATTTTGTTTATGCTAATTTTCTTACATGTAGTTTTTGCGAAGAAATATTTCATTTGTTTTTTAAAGTAAATGCCAGTAAAAGTAAATATTACTTTTAAACAGTAATATAAAGACAATATAAATAATTTTGAAAAGATAATTTTTTATTTATATTTTTATTCCATTACATCATTATGCTTAGAAAATTAATATATTTTATATTTACTTGATTTATAAAATTTGTATGTTAATATAACAAATTAAGTTCTGTAATTATTATTATTATTTGAAAAAACCAACGCTTCGAGTCATCGAGAATAGATTTAATAACACTATTTTATTTTTGGCTTTGTCTAATATAATATAATTTGACATCTAATTTGTTGTTTATTTGAATACTACATTAAAGTTGAGATTAAAGTTACATTAAATGATTTTCAAATTTTATATGTTAATAGGTATAACAAATTATTACTGTTTATTATTTATTAAACCAGTCTAATTGCTTATAAACATTGTATAAATTCTGATAACTTTTATATATAACAAGTATTGTTGAATGTGTTATATGTAATTTATTAATAAATATGCAGAATATATAGACATACTATCCCTAACTAACTAAAGTCAAACAATAATATTCTTTGCTAATATCAACTAATACCAAAATATGGCAACAGCGCCCGCAACAACCCCCAATCATAATGTATTTTCTGTATAAATACTAGCACCTCAATAAAAAAAATCAAAGATGCCGTCTTCTTTCATAGCATTGCCACCGACCGCTGTCAGGTTTCTCGAAAGAAACCTACAGCCGCCGTGCGACAACTAAAATTCAGTTAATATTTTATTATAATCGATACTGACGAATAAATGAATTTCATAAAGAATGAATTTTATAAATGAATGGTTTTTGCTGCCGAATTACTAGAATACAATATTTTAAGGCAGATTACGGATTTATTCGTGTTTTTATTCTAATAGTTTTCAGGGATAATTTTCAACCTAGATTATTAAATTATTCGAATGAAAATACATTATCGAATGTTTCGTATAGTATTTTGTTACAAATAGTTCCCACTACTAGTTGAAATACCATCTACTCAGCATGTTAGTCAACTGGCATGTAAAGGACTATTTCCAAAAATATCTTGAGAACTGTTGCTCCAGTAGCGATTTTTATCAAGTCGACATATTTTACGTAGAAAATAACGAGTAAATTTCATTTCTTTCAGTTAGTTATTCAGATGGATAAAAAGTTCCATTACTATCAACAATTATTGACATGTATCGGCGCCCCCTGTATTATTATCATTTTGACATCAAAATCAAATTTCTCGGGTATAATTTAATTTCCCAGAAACTAACTTTCATTCAAGTATTGATGTTATCAGACAATTTGGAAAAAATCGAAATAAAAATAAAACTTCTACACCCTGTATCTATTTACTTAGTAAATTTAGTGACATATATTAAGAACTACAATACAGTCAAATTTAGTCAAACTGTTCACTAACTATTTCCATAGATGTGCTATAGTGGTCACTTAAGAACTTTATATAGAGTTTCATTATAGCTATGTTACTATTGCCAAGTAGATACATTTATATTATAATTAGCGTGTACCCGCGACTTCGTTCGCGTCGAGTTAATCATTTGTAATGGTGATGATAAAGCAAAGCAAGAATTTCCATTAACATACAAACTGGATAAAATTTTCTCACATTTATGTCAGCATGAGAAAAAACAATATGGCGATATTATTATATAACTTGGTAATATTTGAGGGGTAGTTTCATCTCGTTGGAATTTGACTTTCAAAAAATCCGTTTGCCAAAAATAACCTTTTTACGTCAACCAGTTTAAGCAGAATCGTGGTTAATCAATTACCCAACTTTGTGGAACATCCTGTATGATTTTTTAAAAAATTTCAAAATATGTAAAAAAACAAAATAAATGGTGCGTGTCGAAGCGTTTTCCCGAAAGACTGACTGTTTTTTAAATAACAAATATTGTAATATTTGAGGGGTGTTTTCACCCTCTTGGAATTTGATATTCGAGAATCCCTTCCTTATCGAACCTCTACACCCCACAGTCAATCCGTTTACCAAAAATCAGCTTTTAACATCAAGCAGTTTAAGCAGAATCGTGATTACTCAATGGTCATATTTTATGAAATACCCTGTATAAATTTTTAAAAAATCTTGAAATATGTAAAACAACAAAATAAAATATACATACGTGTTTAAGAGTTTTTCTGAAAAACTCACCGGTTTTTATAATTGAACAAATAACAAAATAAAATATACGTGTTTAAGCGTTTTTTCGGAAACTTGACCGTTTTTTAAATAAAAAATATTGTATATAATATTTGAGGGGTGGTTTCACCCCCTTGGAACTGGAATTTCGAAAGATCCCTTCTTATCGAACCTCTACACCCTAGAATCAACCTGTATGCCAAAATTGAGCTTCTTACGTTGAGTGGTTTGAGAAGGATCGTTTTTAATTTTAAGTAGTTGAAATTCATAAATATATTTTGAACACCCTGTAGCATTTAACTAAAATATCTTCTTTTTAATCTCTATAGAACTCTCATACCAAATTTTGGTATTCCAACGTCAGAAACAATGGTCCCACTTTTTTACCACACTGCAATTTAACATTTGTATAAACAAATTTAAATATTACGCAAACTATTAATTTTAGGTATATAACATTATATATAAAACAGTTATAGAATTTTACGCAGAATCTAGAAATAAAATAAAAAATAGGGTGTTGCATTTAAAAAAACCAATGTTATATCCACCACACATTTTTGAAGCACCCTGTATGCTCTATAATAATTTTAAAATGTGTATCTTAACCTTCCCTATAACTTTTGTATTTAACATTTTTTTGTAAACCTTGAAACAAATGAGATAATGGACTTTACTCTATCGTTGACTCACTTGGTACAGATGTAGATGTTAAAATATATGTAGAAAGCAATTGTTTTAAACGAATTTTAAACATAATACCAAATTTATGATAATAAATAAAAGAACACTTTTGTTTTGTTTAAATATCTATATAAAAGATTCTTTTTTCAACCCTGGTACAGTCACTAAATAATTAAAAGCACCAATAAAAGTCTGCACATAAAACACTCCTCCTACTCCTATTTTCCATTATGCTTTGCGAACAGTTTCCACCCATAGCAAATTTACTATCCCTCAGACAAAAACTCATTTCTATTTTGACCGGCAGTTATTGGATTTGGTAACTCTATTAAAAATCAATCTGACGTCAAAAAATGCCATTCAACCTTCAATTAAGAGTTCGGAGAATACAATCGTATAAAAGTGATTTTCGATTACTGTCAACAATTGTATTTTTACAGAGAAAAAAATCATAACATATTTATCTAGAACATTGGCTATTAGTGGTTCGTTCTACGAAATTATCGTGAAATGAGCAGATAAATCAATGAAAAATTGTTATGGGATAATGAAATATATTATTATATCCTCTCTATAATTAACGAGATATTTATAAAATTTAATTTGGAAACTTAGTATAAAGGTCTCAAAAGTGGCTCATCCCTATAACTATTTTGTTTTTTCATATAAAAAATTGAGATTTGGTATGTTAGTATATGACATATGACATAAGTTAGGATTGATTGACGTATTCAATTGTTTTCGGTCACTTCCTGTTTCACCGGAAATGACTACAACTTTTGATTTTTAAATGACACCCTCCGTATTTTGTTACTTTATTCGATAGAAAATGACACTCTGAATAGAATGACATATCATATGTCAACTTTTGACATTTTCGAATATGGTTTATTTGAAACTGCAACATGCGATTCATAATGACAATTTGACTCAAAATACCAAGCGTGTGGTACCAAATTATTCGTAAAAAAATGCCATTTAAAAAAAATGAGATTAACATTAGACGTTCAAATTTATTTTTCCAAGGCTCCTTGATTAGAAATTAGTGTTTTTAACACAGCCATGCCACTCTAGATTGAAATTTAAAATACAATTTTCTTTTAAACGAAAATGTCAAAAGTTGACATATGATATGTCATTCTATTCAGAGTGTCATTTTCTATCGAAGAAAGTAAAAAAATACCGAAGGTGTGATTTAATTAAATTATTCTTTTTAAATCTTTAATGAAAGTATAGCAGTTTTACTTGGAATGAGGTAGATAATAATTATTCAGTATTGGAACTAAAAGAATTTCGAACTTCTATTGTCTTTATTTATTAAAATTTACACAACGTATCGATAAAATAAAGAACTACTCTAAATCCTAAAATTTCATTCAGAGAATCTAAAATAGAAAACTTGATAGAAATTCGGATTTTATCATGCACTTTGTCTATTCTTACTATCAGTATTAAACTGGACTGATCATAGCCATAATGGTCTAAAGAATCTAAAACTGTTTAAATCCTCTTTTGACTGATGACATTTCTTCAAATGTCACTTATGGACTAGATGTCGTAATAGTGATTATAGGCATAATCATTTTTTTATATCATATTTATTTTAATTCAATGGCTCAAAAAACATAAGCGTCTTAACTATACTGCAATATTCGGTATGTTTCGACAAAATAGTACATTGTTTTATTAGGAGTAAAAATGACACTTTCAGTGGCAAGACTGTATACTGCTGTATACGTTTGACATAGAAACGAAAAAAAGCACAAAAACATTTTTTCAAACATTTTTACTCCGAATAGAACATGCAATTTTTTTTCAAGCGTTACAAATAATTTTTTAAGCAAATTTAAACGTTTCTAATAATATAAAAATATTTAAAAGTAATGTCAAGGATCCCCACCCTAGAGTCCTTTTTCCGCCCACCATGCATGAATTTTCGAAATTCCAGTTCCAAGGGGGTGAAACCACCCCTCAAATATTACAATATTTTTGATTTAAAAAACGGTCAAGTTTCCGAAAAAAACCTTAAACACGTATATTTTATTTTGTTTTTTACATATTTTAAGACATTTTCGAAATGTATACAGGGTGTTTCGAAAAATATGGCCATTGATTAATCACGATCCTGCTTGAAGCGCTTGACGTAAAAAGCTGATTTTTGGAAAACGGATTGACTTTAGGGTGTAGAGATTCGATAAGAAGGGATTTTTCGAAACTCGAATTCTAAGAGGGTGAAACCACCCCTCAAATATTAGAATATTTTTTATTTAAAAACCGGTGAGTTTTTCGGAAAAACTCTTAAACACGTCTGTTTTATTTTGTTGTTTTACATATTTTAAGATTTTTTAAAAAACGTACGAGAAGAAATAAAGTTTTTAACCTATCCTCGCTGTTAAAGTATTATTTAATCTACCTTTGCGGTTAAAGTACTATTTTATCTACTATTTTTGATAGATATAAGGCAATTTTAACAGTTGCTATGGAAAAAATAAATAAAAATTTAGTTATTTTCTAAAATTGTTACCTATGAAAAATGTGATCTAAATAAGCAATAACCGTGAAAATAAAAATGCAAGACCTCAAGACTAGCGATGGGAACTATCGAATAAATTAGACTATCGAATGGTTACTGAATGAATGATTTTAACTATCGAATGGTTTTATTCGAATAAAATCATTCATTCATTTGTATACTAAAGCATATGTGACAACCTCGCCGTGCGACTAAATGGTTATCGTTGAGCCACGACTATCGAATGCTTTGGATAAATGAAATTTAGTCATTTTGTATTCGTTTGATTTTTGTGTGCGTCAGTGCATTATTAGTTCTTCCAAATTTTTATAACTTCGCCGTATAAATACTGTGCTATTTTTGCGTTTATTAAAATATTTAAAATAATAAAATAGTATTTTTTTTTAATTGACGATTGTGTCCGTGTGCAGGTGGTCAAAATTTTTCCGAAAATTTGTGTGATTTTCCGTAGCCCGATCTTTCAATTATTTAATTATGGTATATGGTTTATTTTTTAATGGGAAATTTTGAGAAGTCGCAATTTTTAAGAGAGATGAGATGAACTTACAATTAATTTTAAAAATACATATTTGTATTTTAGATGTTTTAATAATATGAATTAGTTGAATTTAATAATCATATTTAAGTAATGTGGTTAAGTAAATGGTTATCGAACTCAAACTATGGGGTGAGATAATTAAATTGAAAGTTTTAAACGTGCCAATTAAAAAAAAAAAGAAAAAAAGTTAGCGATGTTTGTATTTTGTTTATGCTAATTCTCTTACATTAGTTTTTTGCGAAGAAATATTTCATTTATATTTTAAAGTAAATGCCAGTAAAAGTAAATATTATATATAAATAGTAATATAAAGCACCTAATATAAATAATTTTGATTTCTAATTTTTAATTTATATTTTCCTTCCATACACTGCAATGCTTAGAAAATTAATAAATGTTAATATTTCATGATTTTAAAATTTGTTGTTAATATAACAAATTAGTTCTGTAATTATTATTATTTAATTAACCAACGTTGCCACAAAAAAATTAGAGACTATATTATTTTTAAGTAGGATCTAATAATAATAATTTTGACATCTAATTTGTTGTTTATATTTTGCTACTACCTAAAAAAATGTTCATATTAAATGATTTTAAATTTTGTTGTTAATAGGTATAACAAATTATTACTGTTATTATTATTTATTAAACCAGTCTTTGCTTAAAAACATTAAAAATAATTTTCCTACATCCAAAATAACAAGTATTATTGCAGTGTAACAACAGAATATTAAGAAAAAAAATGCAAAATATATAGACATACTATCCCTAACTAACTAAAGCCAAACAATAATATTCCTTGCTAATATCAACTAATACCAATATATGGCAACAGCGCCCTTCATAATGTATTTTCTGTGTAAATACTAGCACATCAATAAAAAAAAAAATGTGTCCTTATCTTTATCGGACTCGGCAAAAAATCAAAGATGCTGGCTTCTTTCATAGCATTGCCACCGACCGCTGTCGGGTTCCTCGGAAAGAAACCTACGTCTAAAAAAACTAAAATTCAGTTAATATTTTATTACATTCGATTCTGACTAATAAATGAATTTCATAAATGAATGAATTTTATAAATGAATAGTTTTTGCTGCCGAATTACTAGAATACAATATTTCAAGGCAGATGACGCATCTATTCGATAATTTTTATTCGAATAGTTTTCAAAGAATGTTTTCTTACTAGCTATCGAATTATTCGAATGAATTGCAACTATCGAATGTTTCGATAGTATTCATTCGATAGTTCCCACTACTACTCAAGACCGCAAGAGTCTTACATGCTGGGTGTTGGTCTTGCGTTAGTTTTGACTTGGTCTTACACAAAAAGATATATCAAGATCAAGACCAGTCTTGCTTATTACTAATTTCATTGGCGAATGTTTTATAATTAACAATAATAATGTTATTCTCACCATTTTATTACAGCGGCAATATTTTTGAGTAAGTTAGCGATTATCAAGTATGTGTACCTGAAAGTAGAAATTTAATGGTTTCTAATAAATTTACCTTAACGCTCTGCTAAGTTTATCGTAATTCATGTTGGGTTTTGACTTTCTTTCGCCCCATCGTCTTGCCACTTCGTCTGGATCAGTCAATTTGAATTCACCGTTTGTGCCCTCCCAAGTTATACAGGCTGCGTTTGCCGAATCACTCAACAATTCTAACAGAAATTGCCATAGTTGAATTTGTCCAGAACCTGAAAAAATAACAGATGGATCAGAAAGTTATTCAATCTGAACTAATCCTAAATTTTATACTAAGTATTTTTCAAGGTAAGTATCTCAGATTTTTTATAAATCATGTTAGATCTTTTAAAAGCTGTCCGTCTTTACCACACTGGATCTGGATTTACCACATCTCTCGAATATACAAAGGGCTTTTTCAGAATTGCGCCAAAGAGATAAAAATAATTAGATACTTAACATTCTAACACCCTATAAGATGTTTGTAACAAAATTGATTCCACGCCTAAAAATATCTTTTATTGGACTATCAAATAGCCATTTTAAGGCTGCAAATTAAAGAATCTTACTTTATTAAAAAACTAATAAACCGTTTACTTTAAAATTGATTGCTTTTAAATACTGCACGCTCATATTATTTTTGAGGTGTGAAATCAGAAGACCCAATACGGCGCTGATAATTCCAATGGCGAATTGCAAGTGCACGAATTACAAGTGCACAGGGGACAGTTTAATATATCGCAGATCGCGGGAGTGTCGCGGGGAACAAAGTGTACGGACATATTCCGATTAGTAGTGAACGAAGTGATCAGGGGATGCGGTAAAATAACGCCAGATAGAAAAATTGCCAAAGTTTTAATGTATCCATTTCAAGTATATGACGAATTGTTTACGGAATAAATAGAATTAATATTAAAATTTATATTGGGTTTTCCTCAAGAAGAAACATTATATTTGGGAGTTTGCATGCACATGATCACTTATTGAGGAACCGGCAACGGCTCAGCTACGGCGAAATACCGGTTCCCCATAGATCACCGAAGTTAAGCGACGTTAGACAACGCGAGTGGATGGACGAGTAACAGCGGGGAAACACAGAAACTGCTCTGTACCAGTTAACCGAGCTAATACAGGCAAGCCTGGATAGCAAAGAAACAGCAATTTGTGCCTTCTTGGACATTGCAGGGGCGTTTCACAATATACCTCACAAGGTGGTCAAGCGATCTCTGGAAACAAGAGTGGTGAACAGTACGATAATTCGCTGGTTTTGGGAAATGCTCTCACGAATAACAGAGGCTGAGATAGGTACCTATAGATTCCGTATAAAAACTGTAGTTGTTAAAACAACGCAAGGAACTCCACAAGGTGGAGTGACCTCCCCCTTACTGTGGAGCTTGGTGGTGCATGAACTACTAGAAGAATTAACTCTAGCGGGAATACACTGCATAGGATATTGACTTAGTCATGATTACACGGGGGAAACATGAAGGCACCCTGTGTAATATTTTCCAAAGAGGACTCCGCATTGCTGAGAGATGGTGCAGGACTGTCGGGCTGAGCATCAACTCAGATAAAACCGCGGTAGTGTCATTCGACAGCGAAGTGTAAAAAACTTGAAAAAAATCCATCTAGATGGAAATACTGCCATCGCAAGAAATGAAATATCTGGGAATAACCCTGGACAGTAAACTTCTCTGGAACAGGCATATTAAGAACATTACCAGCAAAGCCATAAAGGCTCTCATGATATGCAGAAGACTGGCGGGAAATAGGTGGGGGCTGCGCCCTTAACATTTTGCGCTTGATGTATACCATGATAGTAAGACCCAATTACCTATGGGGCAGTTGCTTGGCACACAAAACTAGAGCAACGTACAGCAAGGCAAAACCTGTGCAAAGTACAGAGACTGGCATGTATCTGCATCACAGGTGCCATGAGAACATGTCCAAGAGCAGCAATGGAGGTCATTCTAGACCTAACACCACTGCATATTGTCGTCAGTAGTTATTCCAATGCGACAATGATTACCATTATCAGGTCATTGACGGAAACATGACGGAAGAATTGGCAGGAAAAGGGCATGGAACACCATCAAAAATAAAATTCCACTTCTTCAACTGTGGATAACATACCAAGAATTTACAACTTTGAGAAACATCTCACTGTTGTATTGAGTAATAAAAAGGATTGGAAGGAAGAAACATTTGCTCAGCATGTAAAAGACCATACCATAACGTGGTATATTGATGCTTCCAAAACCAAAGCAGGGACAGGAATAGGAGTATTTAGGCCGAAAACTAAATACTCCGAATTAATGGGCACCTACCCCAGCATCCTTCATGTAGAAATTTATGCTATCGAAAGATGCGTACAATTTATCTTAGATAGGAACTATCGAAAACAGGAAATGGCCATCTTATCCGATAGTCAAGCAGCACTAAACGCGATCAACTCAGTAACCATTAATTCGAAGTTGATCAAAGAATGCCTAGAGAAGGTCAACAAATTAGACAAAGAAAATAAATTACTCCTACTCTAGGTGCCTGCTCACCAAGGGATAGAAGGCAATGAAAAAGCAAATGATCTAGCTAGGAAAGGATCGAACACTCCACTAACTGGACCAGAACCGTTCTGTTTTCCAAGCGGAAACCAACTGAAAGCGGAACTGAAGAATCTGGAAGACTCCAACCGTAACTTGGAATGGGTGTCCTCCAACGGTCCAAGACACTCGAAAAAGTTCCTCAGAACCTACGACCGAGAAAAATCAAAGGTTTTCCTTGATTTAAGTAAAAACAATCTTCGGATTGTCACGGGGTTTCTAACAGGACACTGTCTCCTCAACTGAACACCTCAGTAGGCTGAAGCTGAGAAACAACGGCGAATGCAGATTCTGAAAATGGGGAAACACCAGAACACCTTATCACTGAGTGCGCCGAGACGACGACCATTCGTACCATGAACTTTGGTACGGCTGATGTCAAGGATGGAGAGCTAGCCTCTGTGGAACCGTCTCAGATACTGGCTTTTGTTAAAGCCTTGAGACTGTATGATGAGTTATAACTCGTTATAAGGGGAACACACAATAGATCTTTAAGGTATCGGTGACTAACTCCCCTCCTAAACATTCTACATTCTACATTCTAGGCACGGACCTTAATATACAGTATGTCCCCGGATTTTCTTTACAAGAAGAAAAACTTTTTTAATGTTGTAATTTTGACAAAAATGCATTCTTCACAAACATTTTTGCTTGTTCTAAAATGGTTAATCCCGTTTATACTTTCACAAATTTCCATACTGTTTTAGATGAATTTAAAAAAAAACATGAAAACTTGGTTGAATTTCCTAAAAATCAAAAGGCGTTCTATGATAATACAATTTCAATTTTATTCTTTGATAGATGGATTTTTGATTAACGTCATATTTTTTGCTGTTGTTAAAGTATCACATTTTCCGATAACTATTATGACCCTTTCCGTAGCATTGAACTAAATACATTTTGTGCTTCTTTAAAGTTTTAAAAGACCAAAAAATATGACGTTAATTAAAATTCTATCAATAACAATGTATCAAAGAATGAAAACAAAATTATATTCCCAAAGAAACGCGTTTTGTTGAGCTGGCGGCTCGCTGGTCACTCTATTTAGATAAATAAATATTTTTATTTCATAAAAAAAATTTGCTTATTCTAAAATGGCTAATCCCGTTTATACTTTTGCAAATTTCCATACCGTTTTAAAGAAAACTAAGAAAAACATGAAAATATGGTTAAATTTTTATAAGATCTAAAAATGATAAGGCGTTTCTATGATTGTGCGACACTAAATTGAGTCTTTTTTCTACTTTTTAACTTAACGGATGATCATTTTAAAAGGTGTATTTCTATGAAAATTAAATTCACCGATTTTCATTACCATTATCAAAACACTACTTCTATTTCCTTATTCTGGGCCGTTATAATTTCGATACGGACCGGTTATTAATAATATGCGAGGGCACCCGCTGCCCGTCGAGGATATGCAAAACAGGCGTGTCTAAATCACCGGCGCCGGAACGTAACATGCGTCGGTTTCCTTCCGCCAGCGGCGCATTTACAAGCGAAACGACACGAAATTTGAATTTCTAATGGCGGGGCGGCCGGCACGCCCGCCTAAGGTCGCGGCGTATCGCCGAAAAAATCGCGCTCGCGGCCGACATTTTGTTTTGTTAGTGTAATTAGCGAAAATTGGCGGCGTATTATTCACAGAAATGAGGTGTTCCCGATAAATGAGAAACGACATTACCGACACGATCGCTATTGGAAGGGTAACGAATGGGGCCGTTGCACGGAACTGACTTTCCCTTTCTAGCTTTTACAATAATAATTTATAGGCCAGTCGGTAAAAAAACTTTTAAGTTAAACGGTTTTATCTTATGTGCACTGAAAACTAGAAAATAATAATAACAATTAGGTATTTAGAACTTCTAGTTCAGAAATATTTTAGTACTAGGCAGAATAGCTTTTAGGCATATTAGACTAAAATAAAAACGTGGGGCCCATTAACTATTGCTGTAATACTTTCTTCTATACTAAGTGTGGATTGCATCGACTTACTATAATCGTAACTGGAGCTTTTGACAATCAATAACCAGCCGTGGCGGCTTCACCAGCGAACGCCGAGCTCATGATCTACCAAAGTATAAAGATATGCTTTGCCATCGGTAGGATTTCAGAGGGGCCCCACGTTTTTATTTTAGTCTAATATGCCTAAAAGCTATTCTGCCTAGTACTAAAATATTTCTGAACTAGAAGTTCAAAATACCTAATTGTTATTATTATTTTCTAGTTTTCAGTGCACATAAGATAAAACCGTTTAACTTAAAAGTTTTTACCGATTTTTATTTTCTAGTTTTTAGTATTTAACGGAAATGCCTACCGAATATTCCTCATTCTATTTAATTCATTTAGTGCATCATTATTACATGGTTTTTTACCTGATAATATATTACAATCTAATTCCTCAATACATAGCCCTTCCAGAGACTTGACTCGACTTAGAGCCACGTATGTTTGCCCTTCCTCAAACAATTTTGAGCCCAAATACACTACTGCATGGTCGACTGTGCTGCCCTGCCTTTTATGGACGGTGGATGCCCATGACAAAATTAAGGATAACATCCTTCTTTCAGCCGTACCATAATTGAATTTTGCTGGAAACTGTATGGCTTTCGGGTGTATAACGTGTATGCCGT